TTAAAGGGGAACTGAAGTGAAAAACGATTTTTTTACCACTGATAAAGGTTTCCGTGTTGATTCCAAAACCGTTTGAATTTTTTTAATACGTTATGTAGTTTTTAAGTTATTAAGTTTTTAAAGTCGAAATTTGCCCTCACCGATGGCGGAGCGAGAACGCGGTCGGACCACTGTGTCACGTGACCTTGTGACGTAAAGTGGTGGACACGAAGAGATGTTTTGATGTAATGTAGTAGTGAGTTTAATAAGGTTCATGACAGATAACAATCGTGAAAATTGTGATAAAAGCATGAAACTTGGTGAAAATATAGAATTCGGTATGCGTAACAAGATAGAATATAGAATCATTTTGGGAAAAAAACCCTTGTGCTATTTTTAGCCTGGGGTACTTGTGCCCAGTACTCAGAATACGTTAGTATGGTCAATCTATTTCTGTTAACTATACAACCATGAAACTTGGCAAACTGACACAATTTGACTTGCTGAAAATGATAAGAATGGTCCCCATCCTCAGAAATACCCCTTGTGCTATTTTTAGACTGGGGTACTTGTGCCCAGTACTCAAAATACGTTAGTATGGTCAATCTATTTCTGTTAACTATACAACCATGAAACTCGGCAAACCGACACAATTTGACTTGCTGAAAATGATAAGAATGGTCCCCATCCTCAGAAATACCCCTTGTGCTATTTTTAGACTGGGGTACTTGTGCCCAGTACTCAAAATACGTTAGTATGGTCAATCTATTTCTGTTAACTATACAACCATGAAACTTGGCAAACCGACAAAATTTGACTTGCTGAAAATGATAAGAATGGTCCCCATCCTCAGAAATACCCCTTGTGCTATTTTTAGACTGGGGTACTTGTGCCCAGTACTCAGAATACATTAGTATGGTCAATCTATTTCTGTTAACTATACAGCCATGAAACTTGGCAAACCGACACAATTTGACTTGCTGAAAATGATAAGAATGGTCCCCACCCTCAGAAATACCCCTTGTGCTATTTTTAGACTGGGGTACTTGTGCCCAGTACTCAGAATACATTAGTATGGTAAATCTATTTCTGTTAACTATACAGCCATGAAACTTGGCAAACCCACATAATTTACTTGCAGAAAATGATTGAGTGGTCCCCACTTCAGAAATACCTCTTTCGCTAGTTTTAGAATGGTCCCCACCCTCAGAAATACCCCTTGTGCTATTTTTAGACTGGGGTACTTGTGCCCAGTACTCAGAATACATTAGTATGGTAAATCTATTTCTGTTAACTATACAGCCATGAAACTTGGCAAACCCACATAATTTACTTGCAGAAAATGATTGAGTGGTCCCCACTTCAGAAATACCTCTTTCGCTAGTTTTAGAATGGGGTCCTGTGCCCGGCACTCAGAGGACATAACTATGGTTAATCCATTTCTGTTAGCTGTAGAGCCATGAAACTTGCCAAACCTACACAATTCGGTTTGCTGAAAAAGACAAAAGTAGTCCCCCACCTCAGAAATACCCCTTTAAACATGATTTATCATGCTTTGTCTATAGAACATGATATCAAAGCATTTTCTGGTATAACTCCAGGCACAAAAAACAATTCATACCAGGATGTACATAAAGGAGAAGGATTTAAAGCACAACCATTAAATGATGTATATGTTTCCAAGTTTATTAAAAGACTCTATCTTAACAAAAGATATGTCAGGGTTTCTATCTCATAACTGTTCTATGAAAAATGTTGAGTCGAAGCAAATTTCAGAAAAATATAACCATTGGGTACCAAAAACTTCATTCTCAAAATTTGAAAACAGTGTATCTAAACAACAGGCAGTGACAGAATACATTAAAAGAACATTGTACTGTGAAGGTAAAACATTTTCTTCTGATTATGTATAAAAAATGTTACCAAGCAGGTGGTACAGGACCATTATTGTAAGAGAAAAACTTTATCAAATCCAAACTATTCTACACATTTTGATGTGAGTAAAATATCTTGAAAAATATACCTTAGGAATCTTGAAAATATCAAGCCTTGCTCAATCCCCAACCCCTCCCCCCCTTGATGTGACTAATCTAGTGATTTGGCCTAGGGCTGACAAGATTTGGCCATTGCCCCACTAGTTTTAACAAATTTCTAACTTATAACATGACCCCACTAGTTCTAAATTTCTCTTCTTGCTATTATGAACTGAAAGTCTGGTCCCTTTGAATAACCCCTGTATATAACCCTGTACTCCACTGTATATGTAGTAGGTAGCTGAGTTTTGCATTTTCATTGTCTCTCTGCAGAATTTTGAAATTCTTGTCTTCTTTGACTAAAGTTCTTTTCTTTACATTTTGTGATAAATTCATACTTAAAGTTGTCCAGTTTTTCCAGCACAAATACCCAAAAACCAGCAAACCATCCATTGATCGGCCACTGTTTGTAGATACCTAGCAAAATGGATATAATTTTAGGTATTAATGTATTTTAGGCATATTTATGCAATTCTATTAAATATTTGACATTTTCGAATTATCAGTCCAAAAATCTTAATTGCAGTAAGATTTAATAATACTTGTCAATGTACAAAAAACAAGCCAGTTTTTAAACCAAAGTGGATTAGGTCGACCTGTTCCGTGCTACACATCAAACTATGTATAAACGTTTTATATCAAACAAATATTTATTAAATTGTAACATGTAATAATCCTTATTATTTCAGATTTTAGAAATGGAAAGATTATAATATGTAGCCTACATTCTCAGTTGTATCTTACTTTTTATAAGGAAATAAGGAAATTGTGTTTGAGTTGTTCTTGCCTTCATTGTCAGAAAAGAGACAAAGATCGACGTACCATTGATTTGCTTCCTCATTTCTACCGACAAAACGAGCACGTCGCGGGAGATAATCCATCCTCAGCCTCTGGGATCTCATCGGGCCTAGGCTAATCTTCATCGCCACTTTCGCAGTTCCCGTTCGCCCTTGGTAGGGCAAGTACTTCACCACCACATGCTCCAGATTCATCGTCGCTCGATCTTAAGTCTGTTGTCATTCCTGAAGAGCTGTCGTGAAAATTGCGAACTGAAATTCTAACCACTAACCGAATTCCCTCCCTCCGATTCACTCTACTACCTACTACAATGTTGTTTTCGTTGCGACCGGGGCACGTGTCCACGACTTTACGTCAGCGCCTGAAACTTGTCTCCAGACCTCTCCGCCACCGAAATGGAGAAATTTCACACTTCGCGTTGTGAATGCAGGAAAACGAAAAGAAAAACACTAATTTCGTGTCGATATTCGAAATCAGCACGATGAAAACTACTAAATAATTGATTTTCATTTTTCACTTCAGTTCCCCTTTAAGTATATCAGATATATGCTTTTTGAATCAGTAAAAATGCAGAGAAAAGGAAAACATTATCTCAGTTTCAAATTTTTCTGTCAACCTTTTTCAAAGCTTGGAATGTCATAATAATAGTGCGTTCAAATACCGTGCTTGCCATTATCTGGAACACCCAGCATTTGTTACTTTGAGCACCCAGCATTTTGTTCTTATCCTTCATTTTATTTGTTCTTTAGGACAAAGTTGATAGTTTAGGTAAATACAATACATGTCACACAACGTATTACCATTTCATTTTGGATTGCTGAATTTTCACTCGCAACTTCATACTCTGATAACATTTAGCAGGGATTGTATCGTTTTCAGGAGACTGATAAACAGTTATCAATAAAAGCATTGCTAACGATCCAGGTTTAAGGATCAGAAAAATACTCAAGTGCAATGCCTTAAATAGATAATGATATTCTAAATTTAAAAAACATGAAAAGTTCCGATGTTGAAGACTTGTTGAAGCTTTGTCTGCTGCAAATCATAAAATACTCATTTTAAAAATTTTGTAGACTCTTTACTGCATAAACCCAAACATTATTTAAGGTTAGCCTTCAGTTTTGTATCAAATTTATACTTTAACATAAAATATCATTATTCGCTTTAGACTCATCATCATGTCATGTCATTTACAGTATAAGGCGATAGATGAAACAGGCTTGTGAACGCTGTTTGGGTGGTCTTTTTGTTATAAAGATCTTGCCAATGAATTCATTATTTAAAATTCTTTTCTTTCAAAAAAATCAGCTTTTCTTTTTGTTAAGATTATGGTATTACTATAATATATTTTTCACGGCAAAAAATTTCCGTAAGGACTATTGTAAGGCTAGATTCTTTTTACTTAAAGATTGTCAGCTAAAACCTCTTTCCTATTAGAAATTCACTACAAAAGGGAATACCAATGATGAATTTCGTCATTAATTTGAGGCATTTTCAAAATCACAGAGTAAAATAATAGCAAAAATAAGAAATAATAAATAGAATAAAGCCATGTCCATACTACACAAACTAACCCGGGTTCGCCCCAGGTTTTCGCTAACCGAGGTTAGATTTTGCAGGGTGGACACAACAAACCTTAGTTTGCCATGGCTCAGGTTAACCTATCTCCAAAAGTGGGTATAAAACGTCAGATTATGGCCATTTTTAGCAATTGTAGGAAGCAGGGGTAAACTTCTGCAATTAGACCATCGCAAATCATCATTTTTGATTGAATCAAAAAAGCTAGGAAGTTCTACGTAAGGGGAATAGAATGGTTAATTTTCTTTCTATTTTCTACTTTTCTGCAGTTCTTTGCATTTTGAGAAGAACTGGCCGAAAACATTGCTGTGCATATTTTATTTGGGGCACAACTGCCCTACATTTTGCAAATTTCTCTAGGTCTACCAGTCTTATTTTCAGCAACCTCTTTCTGAATATTTTTTGTTACTTAGGCCCACGTAACAAGCCAAAAGTAACTCTATTTCATCGTTTTTTTGGGAAATATATCTCATTTTCATTGGTCAGTAACTTAAAATAATATAAGTTTATATTGAATTTAGTATCTAAAGCTTTAATTTGATAAACTAATTCGATTTTAAACTTTCTTTATTATTGGTAAATCTAATCGAAGTCTTAAACTAAAGGGAAAGCCTCTTTAATAATCTTTTAGACCATGTCCCCCGCACCAAGAATGAGCACAGAATATCGAATTAAAGCAGTAGTTTTGCATGAAGAAGGGTATAGTTGCAACAAAATTGCCTTGAAATTGAAAGTAGCACGATTCACAGTACAACAAATCATTAAGAAGCATAAAGAGACAAGTAGTGAAGAAGACAGAAAGGACAGAGGTAGGAAGAGGATCACAGTATCTAAGGAAAATAGACTAATAGTTATTGAAAGTCATTGAATGAACTAAGAGATGCACGTGATATTAAAATTAGCTCTAGAACAGTGAGGAGAAGACTAGTTGACAGTGGGCTTAAGTATTGCAGACTAAAAAAGAAGCCATTATTGAGTGAGAAAGCAAGAACAAAAAGATTGGATTGGGGAAGGCAGCACCTAGACAATGACTGGAGCAAAGTAGTTTTCAGTGATGAGAACCAACTTTGCTTGATAAGTGACAGGCCAGTTTATGTAAGAAGGAGAAGTGGAGAGGAGTAACTTCCACAGTGCTTGAATGCAACTGTTAAACATGGAGGTGGTAGGATAAATGGTTTGTGGCTGTATTAGTAGCAAGGGTGCTGGCCGTCTACACAGAGTCAAGGGTACAATTTATGCAGCACATTACTTTAAAATTTTAGAAATCTGTGCTTTGCCATCAATTTAATAAACATAATTTTAAGGATGGTTATGGTATATTTCAACAAGATAACACCCCATGTCACACAGAAATTACTGTAAAAAAGTGGATGGCCGGAACAGCCCCGATATGAACCCAATTGAACGTGTTTGGGATTATATTGGACATATAATCCAAGATTTTTATTCAAAAGCAAAGATAAGCTGTTTGAAAAGGACAAATTGGAATGGAACAGAATTCCCAAAGAGTACCAAAGAGTAGATTACCAACCTTTACAACAGCATGGATAGGCTGTATTCATATTTTAAGTGAATTATGTTAAAATCTTAAGAAAATTGCATTAAAAATATTTAGAAACAACCAATGTATCTTTCTGTACTAAAAAACTTACACAAAATGGTTTAGATTTTGATTTATGTAGGGTAATGGACCAAATATTTTCTGAACGACAGGGTGGCCTGTTCATTTTGGCTTTAGGCCAATCAGAAAACGTGAGCACAAGGTCGTGCCTATAGAAAAATTACCCCTGGTGGCCCAGAGGAAAACGACCTTCTTCTGTCTACACAATGGTGGTTTTCTCGTTTGAATGTAGATCGATTCCAAAACTGCTAGATGGAAGGACGACCAGCCTCTGCTGATTATCTTGAAACATTTCGTCATTATAGAGTTTTGCACAATCTGGGTTGTCTGAAAGTTGTTGTCCGATGGCAGAGTCACTTGTTTTAACAGTTTGTTTCTAATATTGGAAGGAACATGATGTTTTATTCTATCCCCCAAACTCTGGGTTGTGCGTCATACGTAGCCAGAATCACACTGGCATATAAATTCATAATCGACGTAACTCTTTTAGTTGGTAGGAACGAAATTCATTTGAATGGATGGAAGGTGAAGATATTTCATACCAATTCCTTTAAAACGTCATCAGGTTTTCTGAGAACTTCCGACACCTTTGTTATTTTTTTGATTCAAGGACCAAAATGTCTTAAAACCTATCTGATCAGTCGTTACCAGCAGAGGCAAAGATACACAAGTAACACAACGAAGACAAGAAATGAGTCTCATCTCAGGAAAGTCTAGAGGAAGAAAAACCCCAGGAAACAGTTGTCAGCGAGAAGGTCATAGCGATGGCAGTACCCACCCCCACCAACTTCCATGTCTAAGATGATATTTTTCCATAACACAAAACTGGCTGGAAGATGGGATAAAATTCTTATCTATAGCCCTATCCACACTACACAAACTAATCCAGGTTCGGCCCAGGTTAGATTTAACTAGAAAAATTCAATCGTCGTAGAATTCTAGTCAAAATATAACAAAATGTGCCGTTAAAGCAAGGCAGGCTTTATCTTGAAGCGGATATTGGAATTAGAAACGAGAAAACAAAGCAGACCCTTACTTTCATAAATTGCAACAAGGCTGTAAAGATTCTCCTAGTAATGCTAGCAGCATCAGTGAGACCTTTCTCAGCGATGAAAAGAGTCATAACATACTTGAGGTCGATGAAAACAGATAGCAGAATGAATCAGCTAATGGTGCTTCATATGCAGAAAGAAAGCGATGAAAAATACTAGATTGATTGATGTTGCACGCGAGTTTGTTGAAAGGGTACATAGTAAAAAGCAGACAATTGGACAATTTTGCAGAGGCGGATCTAGAAAAAAGTCTGATCGTTGAAGTTTTGCCTGCAAACAGCCAACGCACTATCTTGATGCAAATAACTAAAGGTGCAAAAGCTAAACATCATATACAACTAAAGACGTTATTGTTTTCCGAGCTATTTTACCTACACAATTGCATTTGCAACACGGATGCAGGTGACAACGCCTTTTAAGATACATTAAGACAAATGCATGTGTATTATCGTGCAGGCCATTCATTTTCATCATAAGAACTTTAATTTGAATGAATAGAGCTGTCTTTTTTAACAGTAGCACTAGCACATGGATGCAAATATCTTAGAATGAATGAAAAACAGTAAGTAATTGCTGAACAGCTTGCAAAAGACATTAAGGTACGTGCGTGTGCTCTGTTCTGTGGGCCGTCTAATTTCGTCAAAAGAATTTAAATTTTTATCAAAAGAGCTATCTTTCCTGAACAGTATCATTAGCAACATGGATGCAAAGTCAATAGACTATAATGGATGCAAATAGCCTTGGATGAAAAACAGTAAACAGATGTTGAACACCTTGCAAAAGACATCAAGGCAAAAGCATGTTTTCTGTTGTGTGAGCCATCTACTTTCGTCAAAAGAAATTGAATATTCATCAAAAAAGCTATTTTTCCTGAACAGTAGAATTAGCAACATAGATGCAAATAGCCTGAAGTAAAAAACAGTGAAAAATTGTGAAACACCATTTAAGAGACAATAAGGTAAATGCATGCATATTATCGTGTGGGTCATTTATTTTTATCAAAAGAACTTTATTTTTATTATTTTTAACAGTAGCATTAGCAACATGGTTGCAAATATCTTGGAATCAATGAAAACAGTAAGAAGTTGTTGAACACCTTGCAAAACTCATTAAGGCAAATGCATGTTTTCTGCTGTGTGGGCCGTCTACCTTCGTCATGAGAATATGAATTTGCATCAAAAGAGCTATCTTTCCTGAACAACATGGTAGCATTAGCAACATGGATGCAAATAGCCTGGAATGAAAAACAGTGAGCAGCTGGTTTGCGCCTTGTGAGCCTT